CAATGAGATCCTCTCTAACTCCTCTTTATACTTAAATAAATTACTACAACGTGTGTTAGGGGTTAGCTAAATTTTCAAAATTCAAGTTTAATTAAATATAAATCTACAACTTGTGGGATGAAGTTACATACCATGGGTATTCTTTGTATTTGTTGAAAGACATTTTGGCCGAACTGAAAAATATTTTAGAAAAATATATAAAGCTTCCAAGAATACGTTTGTGAAATAAAGACAATTTTTATGAATAATCTTGCTATAAAAGCATTCATTTATCAGAATTATTAATATAGCTTGAAATTTTTTATGACAACTTTTTTAATGTTGTCTGGGGGAAAACTAGTGTGCAGATTACGAAAATCATAAGTTTCTATTGTTCCAGTCTCAAAGCCTTTAGCCCCCCAGTGGCACAGCGGTATGTGTGCGGAATTCCAACGCTAGAATCCGGGTTTCGATACCCGTGGTGGGCAGAGCACAGATAGTCCATTGTGTAGCTTTGTGCTTAACTTCAAAACAAACAAACTCAAAACCTTTAACTTTATTTTTCCATTCAATGAAATTACTGTTCATAACAAATAGTTTAATACTACTATTAGTTTTTTATGCTCTTTAATTTATTTTAGACTGTTACATATTATAATTTAAAAAAGTTAATTGTAGATTTTTAGCACTTGTAATAAACCTGTATTTATAGTGTTTTATGTAGTTTAGCAATATTAGGTGTTACATCATAAGATTTTTCGGAATGTGCAACAAAGTCTTATAAAACTCTAATACTTTCCTGTGTAATACTTCTTTGGCGATTTTAACGTGTTTATAAACCTCATAATCCGGTGTTTTTAAAATTAAACCTTAGTTCTTTACATAAATTGTAATATATCTATATATTTACAAATGAAAAGAAAGTTGTTAGCTGCTTTATCGGCGAGAGTGATGATGTATCTATTTTATATGGAATCTAAAAATTCAATCATTTTTTTTTTTTTATTCACAACAGATTTATTGTTCTTGTAGTATGAAAATACTACATAACTTACTCTCCCAAATATATATTTTATTATCTGCAAATTCTTAATTTTTTCCAAGTTCTTATTTTGGAGCACACTAAATCCAGTTGAGATCATGTGCAAAATTCAGGTCGAGGTGTTATTTTTTTTAGATTGATAGTACAAGGAACTTATCTGCTTATTCATGGGCTAGCTGCTTTATGTTCTGCTTGACCTGATTCTTTTCAGGAAGTAGGAATCAGAATACTTCTCGACTGTCACATGGAACAGAGATACTTCCACATTTCGGTGCTTGTTTTTTGATTGGTCAGGTGCAGAAGGAATGTATTTTGTAATTGCAAGTTTAGGCACTTTTCAAAGGAAATTGACTCTGGCCTTTGAGGAGAGCAAAAAATAAACTTAAACACTGTGTTTCTCTCTTTCAATCCACTGGCAACAAATCATTGCACTTTTCCTTCCACGTACTGAATCCACAAACCACTTGTTTTGCCAGAGATCAGGTAGCTGTATGCCATTCTATAATATTGACTTTCAGTAATGTACAAATATTAAGTGTCTTACTCTCCCGTATGTGTGTATTTCTTAACTACAAAATTCTTAAATTTTCCCGTTGAGATAATGTGCTAAATTCAGCCTGGAGTGCTACTTTTTATAGCATGACTGGTCAAGCAACTTATCTGCTCTGTCATTGGATATTGCATTGTGTCTTGTTTGACTCGTGTTTGGGGGACACTGCAACTGACGTATATTACAGATGCTTTCATATTCGATGTTTGTTTTCTGATTGTTCAGCTTCAAAGAACTTTTTGCTTTGTAAATGTATATGCACACTGATAAATTAACATTTTGTTTAAAAGGTTTTATATGTTGTTTCGTGAATCTAAAGGTTTAATTCTGTTTTTATGACTATGTTTAATTTCAATAAAACATATTATATTTGAAAAAAGCAGACTCGTTTCTGTCCTGAAGGAGCCAACACTTAATGATGAATTCAGGTTCGATGACGAGGAACCCACTTTGAGACTAATAATGCTGTTATGTTAAACTTATATTGAAGTTTTTCTTCATTACCCATTCAAGCCGTCTCCAAGCACTTAATGATGAAGTTTTGTCTGTGTCTTGATCTTTTATCAGTCCCTTGTTGGGAGGATTTAATTTTACTTAACCTTTGAATATAATTTATTATGCGTTTCTTTTACTTCGTCACAACGCAACAGTTCACCTAACGATAAGCCAACTTTTAGTTTTCTTCAGAAAATAAAATATTTTGTATTATTCAAACTTCAAAACCGTGTTTTGTCTCTTTCAATCCACCGAGGCATGATGGTGGGTAAAACAAAATACACGGCCTAGTTAACTAATGAATATATATTTGCTGTAAAATCTTTGTCAATGCTATAAGTGTAGCTACCAGTTTTGCCGTCAATTTTGATCTCATTTCTTTAAGTCGCACACTCAATCCTTTTTTGGCCACACCTTTTTTTTCACACCTAAGGTGTTTTTGATTAGATATCACGACTTTTTGTCAATACACACCAACAAACTACAGCAAGTAAGAAAGTGACACTCGATAGTAAACCACATTAGCTTTAGTATCGCAACCTTATTATTCGAAACAGATCTTTACTTTACAGAGCCAACCAGATTCTTTAAAACATATGGGGGGTATTTTTTTTCCTCTCTAAAACAGTGTGAATAGCTTCTTTTATAGTAACGTCATGGAAACTAGATTACCAGTTTCTTGTTATCACCTTATACGGTTGATACAGCCGTATTAAGTATAATTATTTATGCTAATTGCTTAAGCTAATATTACTTGACGCTAAACGCTCTTTACTTAGGATAATTTCACAAAATTTAGTCAATCTGTGCTGAAAAGTTGGCAGTGAATAATCAATAATAATCGTCTACTCATATGATTCTTTGAAAACGTGAGCTAGAAACTGCTAATCTAGTTTGCTTGGCCTAACCAATATCTTGCACGTCCTTTCACCTTATAGTTTTGCTGCTCTAAATCAGCCGCCTTTAATCCGAATGACAAAAAACTAAAAAAGGTCCACTTTTACTCCTAGGTGAAGCTGTAGTAAAAAACGTTAGACCGATAGCTCACGTGACTTTTTGCGTAGGTGTGCGCAAAAATTTTCGTCAAAATTGAGCGGTTTTATTGAATAACTTTGCACATGTAAGTTTATATTTACACCAAATGAGACTCTAACTGTAGGTTGAAAAGATCTATCAGTGTACCAAATTTGAAAAAAATCCATAAGTGTTAAGTATGTTTTTCTATTAAATAAAGTTTCCGTACTTTTGGTGCGAAGAAAAAAAGGAAGAAAACCAATCAAAATTGGAGATGTTATATCTCAGATATTTCTTGATGGATTGCCTTGAAATTTGGTATGTGAAGTAAGAGTACAGTAGATCACATCCACTACAAATATGTTATAGTTTGGATTACCACAGTCCGGAAAGTGGAAAATAGCTAAACTATCACTCCTGTTAAGAACACACAGTGTGTCCTGCAGTAGGTTTTTTTGGCCGCACGACACACTACCATGTGTCTTGATTGTCTCTAATTATAGATTCCAAATGAACTAGTTTTATATTTCTCTTAGTCAATGTTGTAACTAGACATATTAGCGTTCAGGGTATGCCATCATATTTACGCTCCCTTGTGAGTTCCGTGTCAATCCATTTCGTTCATTTTTCTTCCCTTTACGGCTCTATCTATGCCTAGGGTAGTTGCACCGATCGACCAGCCCTAGTTACAGTTCTGCCTGTTAATAAATGGAAATATAAAGTAAATTTTTACGCATTTGTTGTTTTAGGTTTAACCCGTGACGAATAGAAGGTAAGTGGTAGTCTACATTGCTCATCAAACTTAATGATATCTGTAGTCTAGTTTGCTTGAATAACATAAAAACCTTTGAGACTTTTAGTTTGATGAGCTTCTAGGAGGTGTTATCTTGCACTTTAACCCTGTTTGCTATGTATTTACGCCCGTGACTAAGAATAATAAGGGTTATTTAAAAATTGGCAGTCTTAATAAACATTATCTTCATTTTAAAATCAATCGTTAAGCCCATAGATGAAAAATCCCTTTTAAAACTGTAATTCATAGTAAATTAAAAAGTTCTATTGGTTTACGACGCTAAGTATCGGGTTTCGATACCTGTTGTGGGCAGAGCACAGATAGCTTACTGTGTAGCTTTGACCTTAATAACACCCATATCGGGTTCCTCTCTCACCCACATAGACACGCCTATTTCAATATGTATTGCAATCACTGTAATGTGTTCCTATAATCCCTTAGAGTCAATGTGTTCAGGGCATTAAAATATTGAAGCTACAATTAAGTGAATTAACGTTGATAAGATAACCGTAAATACTACGGCTAGGTGTAAATCAAATTTTAGCCTTGTGTTGGAAATATCATGGAACTTACGGCACCTAAACGTAAGTTACCAAGTTTGCATCAAACATGTATAAATTCGAAATAAACTAATTCAAATGTTTTCGTGTAACTCAAAACAAGAAAATTAATAACGAAAATTCACAAGAATAAATAACACCTTGGAAAACTTCACAAGTCTTCTTTTGGACGATTTTTTGGTTTTCGGTTTTGATTTTCGAATAAATCCAACCCAGAGACCCCACAAAACTCATTTAAACCCTCATATAAGGGCTCATATTTGAAATTTTTAAAAATCTTAACTTATATTATTGTTCTGAATGGATCGTGAAAGCCAAACGCCTTTGAATCCTTTATTTTTGTGATTTTTTTTCATTTATATTCTGAGGAAATGAATAATCTACATCCAGAATTTTAAGTCATTTTGTCAAAACATTTTTGAAGAGTTGAAAGTTCAATGGATCATGAGAGCTCAAAATCAAGTAAACATAGGTACACGAATTCTTGTACTAGAAAGTAAACAGTTCACAAGTGGCTGAGTCTTTAGTAGATAGACACCAAACAACTTGACTCTTTCAAGCGAAATCTTATTTTGTTAATGACATTGAAGCAAAGTACTTTATTATGAACAGAAGAAATATTTGGCCAGTATATGAACTAACTAATAAAGTGACACTAACTTTCCTCAACAAAAGTTAGTTTGGAGCTGCCTTCTAGTGAGGTAACAAACATCTCATCTTGTTCACTTTAGAATACATCAAAATAATATAACAGTTGTATATTCCTTTGTTCTAGAATGGATTTAAACTTAAGAAAAAAAATCACGATTGAAATATTTAAATTTCATTCCATAGAATTTAACTATGTTTTGTTTTCTCGTGTCTTTGAATTAATGCACGAGCAAACGTAATTAAGCTATATAAACAATTACACAGCTATACTAAACTAACTAAATCATTAGAATAAAGCATATATTACAGAGGAATAACAGTCTGTTCTGAAATTTGACGATATCTAACATGAAAATCATCATTTAGTTGAATCACCTTCGCTGTTAAAACTTTATTTTTCTTAGGACTTTTGACACTCTTAAGAGTATAATCGAAACCTGTAATCTGTTTTGCGGCTTGAAGTATGAAATCTTGAAAAAATATGTTGTAATGGTGAATAGTCCTAATAATTCATCTAAATGTTGACTAACGCATATCATGAAACTTACAGAATAAGATGGATCACCAAATATTTTAGTTATATTTACTTTTACTGAATTTTAGCAATAAAAGATATGTAATGATTACTTTAATTAAACTTTAATAGTTAACTGTATATTTGAATTTGTTTCTTACACAAAATAAAATGGATATAGTTAATCAAAACACATGATTGCTATTTGATTGTTTCCACATCGTTATCAATGAGGTACATAGGATTTTCAAGGCCACTTTGCTCGCCTTCTGGTGTTTTAAACTCTTCAGGTTCATCCTTCCCATAAAAGCAGGCTGCCTAAAAAAAAAATCAATAATATAATCGGCGTATCTAATATGTACAATAACTGCTGCGTATTTATTTACTTTACTTGCAAATAAAGTATTTATAAGCTCAGTAACTGGTTATGATTTGCTTTTCTCACAAGCATCATCACCATTTTTTTTCTTCTTTTAAAACTGAATAATTAAATAGTTTCAAGTTTTATTTTAACATCAGACTTTGTGTTGAAAGAAGTAGAAACGACGCTGAAAAAAGTTGCTATATCACCAGAGAGGAAACTAATAGCACCTAGATACATCTTATAAATCTTAATATCCACCTTTCAACAACACGACTTGGAGCTTTTAACACTGATACACTTAAGATATTTCATTCCATATAATTGTTTGTTTTTGAATTTCGCACAAAGCTACACGAGGGCTATCTGCACTAGCCGTCCCTAATTTAGCAGTGTAAGACTAGAGGGAAGGCAGCTAGTCATCACCATCCACCGCCAACTCTTGGGCTAATCTTTTACCAACGAATAGTGGGATTGACCGTCACATTATAACGCCCCCACGTATAATAAAAGTCTTTGAAGATTTCAACCAATAAAGTTGTGGAACTTGACTGTTTCATAAAAGTTACAGTTTTTTTTAATGTAACTTCATGATAACCGTGATAACAGGTCATTTGTTCCGTCAGACAAACAAATACACAATACACATAACACTGATAACATTAAATCGGTCAGCGAAATCAAAATTATATAACATATACAAAATTAAAATGTCAATTTTTATCGTCATATTTAATATTATTACTAATAGAAGTAATTTGAATTCATTTTTTCCTTACAGAGGATTCAAACATCGGATTTACAAATGACGTCAATTTTTTCCCACTAGAGGACACTAGCTCTGCAGGATCCAAAACTTCATGAGGAGTCGTTCCTAATTCCAACTCTACTCTACCTCGCTCAGATTCGAACCTTGCAAATGCAAAACCAGGCATTCTGTAAAATAATTAATTAACCAGAGTAAAAATGAGCTTAATACGAAATTAAGGGATAAACGGCATTATTAATTAATTACAATAAAGTATAATTGTAATATTACAACCGATTACAATAAAGTATTTTAAGCTTACTGGAGTAAATAGTTTTTGGTTCTCAATCGGCCATATCTGAATGAAAACCACGCAATTCAACTTTTTATTTAAAGAATGATTTATCAACTAAAATCTAATGCGGACTTTCTTAACCCACCCTCAAAAATCTTAGTCTCTAAATAATATCCCTATTGAGATAGGAAATATTATTATCAAAGTATAATTTTTGAATAGATTGTCTGATGCAGTTGACATCTGTACATAAAAAATAATAATCAGTTCAAAAAAGAAAAAAGCTTCCTAACTTAGAAATAAATTTTAAAACATCATTTTTTTTTTAAATTAAAGCTTTAAGAAGTTGAGAGGAGTTTATTTGAATGACTATATTTAACAGAAGGAAGTCAGGTATTTATATATTATTTGTGTAATTAATAGTTTAATAACGATACTTGTTAATTCTTTAGAAGTTTCTGCATAGTTATGATTTATTTTGGTTTAAAGGGTCGAACGAAAGTCAAACGTTTGTTATTTATTTTAGTTTAAAAAGCCGAAAGTAAATTAAGACGCTTAATTAATGAATCGATTACTGTTGCTAATTTGGCCTAACTGTAATATTATATTTATTACAGTTAGACCATTAGGGTTAACTTATGCAGACAATTTTTATATTTTTATTATAAATTTTGGTCTTATGTTAATTGTATAATAATATTATTTTTGTACGTTTAACGCTAATATATTTTTAATAAATAATTCAGGCCTAGAACTTTTTAAAAAATCATGTACTTTCACTGTACACAATTTCTTCAAATCTTAATGGATATTCAACATGCTTACCGCCTCTTTTTGTATATAAAGTAAACCAAGGCTGCTAAAGCCACCAGGATCAACACCGCTATGATGACACCTGCAACGCCTCCGCCACTGAGCTCTGATAACAAAAAACAACAATGAATCTGACATTCAAATCGGTTATTCACATTCCCATCTTATATCCCATCCAGTATCTTAATTCAATTAACGCAACTGATGGTACACGTAACCAAACTGCCTTGATTCCATTCAAAAAACAACACATCATACGAATGCACTTGACGCTATTACTTTCAGCCCATAACATTTGCTTACAGTCTTGCAATTCGTTTTTAACACTGATAGTAAACTTTGCATCCTTTTCACTTATTATTGTTTCTTAGCAGCTTCTACTTTCCGTCTATGTGTTTTTTAGCTAATCATAAAGCACATAATAGTTCTCTTTATTTTTATATCTCATATAAAAGTAATATATATCATATGTTAAAAAGAAATATGTCATAGGTCAAACCACTAAGGAGTTAATATATATATAGATATACATATATTAATATTGTTGCATCAGCGAGGTCACGTGACTAGTATCACGCCACCTCTTTCTAGAAATATCCTGTTCCTTCATGAATGCTCTAGCATTTACTAGATATGTGTTAGTCTTGTATATACAAGACGGTCACAACGTGACGGGGCAATGAGTAATTGAACTGTAGTCAGAGATTGTGTAATTGAACTGAGTATTGTTGAGGTTGAACACATGAGACGTTCGTTGAGAATTATAGCGTTTGTTATAGCGCGACTGTTGAAATCAAGTGTATCGCAAAGTTATATTCAGAAAGAATAAACCAGTTTTATTTATGAAAGGACTTGTGTTGCTAAAGTTTCGTCGGAACGAAGTTACTAAAAATTAACTAACGAACGGAGACGTAACAAATTGGTGTCAGAGAGTGGGACAAAAAAATGGAAATGAGAAGCGGCAAATCAAACTACAGCTTAGCAGATTTGATGGCAGCAATACAAGAACAGCAAAAGAAACAAGAAGAACGAGAATAAAAACAAGAAGAGAAATTACAGCAGTTCTTGGAGGAAAAAGAAAAGAAACAAGAAGAGAAATTACAGCAGTTGTTAGAGGAAAAAGAAAAGGAACAAGAAGAACGAGAGAATAAACAAGAAAAGAAACAAGAAGAACGAGAGAATAAACAAGAAAAGAAACAAGAAGAACGAGAAAAGAAACAAGAAGAGAGATTACAGCAGTTGCAAGAAAACCTGCAACAGTGGCAGCTCGAACAGCAAAATAAACAAGAAGAGAGATTACAACAGCTATTGGAGGAGAAAGAAAATAAACAAGAAGAGAGATTACAACTGCTATTGGAGGAGAAAGAAAATAAACAAGAAGAGAGACTACAACAGTGGCAAGAAGTACAAATGGAAAACATTAGTAAATTCAAAAGCGAATTAGATACATTAAAGGATGATTTATTGTCTTTTACACAAGGAGAACACATTAACCGTCGACTTAATCAGCCCCACCAATGGCAAGCCCCTTCCAGACCTCACAGCTAAACCCTAATGCAGACATATTCAGTCCCGTTAGAAGTCACATCCCAGATATGTATGTCAGTAATAGGAGTGATCCAGTACGAAGGAAGCCACAGGAATACGATGAGAAAGCACCGCGGGAAGCATATAGAGCACAATTTGAGCCCCTGGCAGAGATGAATGGATGGACAGAGGAGCAGAAAGCAGTATATCTGGCAACGATCTTGAAGGGACAACCACTGGAAATACTTGGACAATTGTCAGCAGACGACAGACACAACTATAGAGCACTGGTAGCGGCTCTAGAACTCAGGTACGGAACCCAAAATCAGTCAGACGTCTACAGGGCTAGGTTTAGGACTAGATTCCGTGCTAAAGGGGAGAGCCTGCAAGAGCTGGCTCAGGACTTGGAAAGCATAGCACACATGGCCTACTCAACTGCACCACCCGATCTCCTCAAGTTGTTGCTGAGGGATC